CGATTATTTTTGAATATTAAATGGTATTGAAGGAATTTATTTTTGACCGAGGAAAATGCTCAATTCGTAAATTTCACAAAGTTATTGCGTGAGGGAATCGATCCCGCATCACGTTGCATCATGGCAGATGGCCCATCCACTGCGTTAACTGTGCAGTCACTGTGTTGGAACCTGAATATGGCGGATGCTTTCGCTGTGTGGAGGTAGTGTCAAATTCTATAAGGTTTGAATTAAAATCGGTTGCCAGTGAATAAACTCATCTAGTAATAAGCATCATTTTCAGGAAGTTGGTATGCAAGGGCTGTTGTGTGTAATTTATTAGCTTTGAGTACATACATCATCAGCCTATAAGTCCGCACTGCTAAACAAATACCTATTCTTTGGGAAGGTTTTGAGCATTAACCACCATGCTTGCTCAAGGCGGAATGGTGATTTTAAACTTATAATTAGAAATTATAATTCCAGATTTCCTCACGATGTTTTCCTTCACCGTATGTCTGTCAGCGTTGACTAAAGGGAAATAAAAGACTTCCTACAATATCAGTATGCTTTCTTCACGAAGGCAATAGGCATGCGATTAATAGTCACTTTTTTGACTAGCATGATGACTGTTCTTCCTCGCACAATTAATTTCCCGGTAACCTTACAGATCAAAGGACGTGTCCATTGTTTCAGATTTTTTTTCCTATGGCAATGAAACCTCCGCAAAGGCTTTCTCAACGACGAGGAAACGATTACTTTAAAATTAATTTTAATAGTACCCTGGGTGAACTAGGTACCTTAGTACATTACTACAGTCATTTTACGGCAAATCCATTGTTTCAATTCATAGGTACCAACATAATAAGTGGTTTTTGCAATTATTGAGCAGACTTAGGAGTTGTCGACTCTAAAAATATTCACAGCATCATCATCACTTAGTGAGATCAGACTATCAGAGGGCCTAGTGCGAATTTGGTCAGTGGGTAGCCTTAGGGGCGGATTGCTTCGTGCAATTTGCTACGCGCTTGCTTGCAATTGTGTTCTATTTACCTATATCTATTTTATACCTTACCACAAATAAGTGACTAGCAAGGAGGTTAAAAACGTAATCTTTGTTAATAGCTAATAATAAAAATATAGAATAAAAATATTTATATCTATAAGAACCCATAACGAAAATATTAGTGTTGCCCAAATGCAAGAACAAGACGAGACTTAGCCAGTCTTGGTCTTGGTCTTGCGCCAATACACCTGGTCTTGGTCTTGGTCTTGGTCTTGCGCTCCCAGTCTTGGTCTTGGTCTTGCAGCAAGAGTCTTGCAATTCTTGCAATTACCTATTAGTCTATTACTATTTTTTAAAGTTTATTTTAAATCTTAGAAAAACGTATTAATTAAAACATTTGAATTGGAACATTTTGAGCTGGAATTAACATAGCCATAGTTATCTTCAGTTATTTATTATTTATTAATCTGCTTGATCAGCAGATTAATAAATAACTGAAGATTTGATAAGAAATTCGAAAAATCACTGACCTATACGTCGTCTTCCATGGAACTAACTGTTTCTTAATAAAAATTTATGATTTATAAGCTTACATTTGCTAAAACATGTAAAAAAACAAGTTAATCACAATAACTTGACTGTATTTTAAAGAACAATACTTATCTGTCTATAAAGAGATTGAACCCTCAACGTATAAGAAATTTAATAAAAGAGTTTTACAATTTATCATTTATTTGAAATACCACACAAATCAACAGCTTTATCATTAGGTTATGATACTTTATATCATTTTTTTTGAGAAAGAATTAATGCAAAGTAACCATCTGGCTGACTCATCACTTAACCTATTTCTATGTTTTCTAATTACTAATGATGCTTTATAAAATAACCCCTTAGCAGTTTCAAGTATATTTAAAAGTGGCTACAATATTTTTTAAACGGGTGATATTAGAACACTTTTTTGCTATTTTTTCTTGTAAAAACTTATGAAATATAATGACTAAATATACAATAATAGTACCTAAGTAATTAGTTTCAAACCATATAAGTAAGTAATCAATATTATAATGTATACTTACTAGAATGAATTAATATGACATCTACTACCTATCCTTGCCATTTTATCCTAATCATAATACTTCTTGCGTGATCAGTACTTATAATGTATTCGTTTTCATTCTAAACACTGAAACTTATTTATTCTTTGGAACACCTGTTGGTACCTACATTTAAAATTCGAAATTATTTTGCATGAGTACCTATACCTACGCCCTATGGCGGTAATCAAAATATAGTGTCAAATGTTATAATTTCGGCGTGGCGGCAACGAACAAACGACGAAAAGAAGCCGCCGGCGCGTGTATCATAACTTCCGAAAAGCGGCAAATTTCTTTGAGAAGTAGGTACAAAACCTTTGATGCCGCATTATCAAAGTGTCGATGGTTAAAACATAACTATGCATGCACATAGTTTGATTTTCATAGATATTTTTTACTCGCTTTGTTTAGGCATTAGTCGTAATGCGCATAGGTCCAGTTTTTCATATTCTTTGATACAGTTTTTTGCGTTTCATAGAATCCCTAAGCATACCTACCTATACACCGAACTGTTACACCTAACAGTGAAATAGCACTAAGTCCTAGCTGCAAGACGCAAGAGTCTTGCAGGCTATGTCTTGTTCTTGCTCAAGTCTTGCACGGTCAGTCTTGGTCTTGGTCTTGCTAAAAATACGCGGTCTTGTTCTTGGTCTTGGTCTTGCAAAAACGCAAGAACAAGACCAAGACTGCAAGACCAAGACTGAATTTGGGCAACACTAGAAAATATATATGTGTGAGTACAATGTTTTTACTTACAACATTTTTAAATATAGAATTATTGCATTTCAGCTAAGAAGTCGGTAAAATAATGTAGCAAGATATATTGTCATAATGTACATACAAAAGTAAGTTTTTAAAGGGAAATCTTACGTTGATCTTTGGAACTTCGACCTTGTGAGCAAACGAAGGTTGTCATATTTATAAAACACATATGTATAGGTTTAACCGGTTGCTTATAATTATCTTCTCACATAAACATCCATTAATTTATTACTTGCAGTATTATTTTACACACGCTGTCTGCGTTAAAACCTTCCTTTAATAGGCTGAATAGAGTTCTTACTTCAAAGTCGTATGTTCTATTTTTAAACTTGTTAGGTATTTTCTATAGTCGCCATTTTTAACCAAACTTCAAATAGGGGGAGATTCTCAATTGTTACACCGCAGTCCGGAGATTTATTAGCCGATTTAAGTGACTCTTTTTTATCAATTCAACAATGAATTTAATAATAAAACATACATAATGTGACTCTGCGAACATCTAAAAAAAGCAAGAACTAATAAAAGTCCGAAGTTCAGTGTACAATAATTTAATAAACACGCGTCTCATAAATGTGTCAGGAGTTAGTTTCCATAGATATATATCTAGATGAATCTTGAACTACATTATCTTTCTCATAATGTAAATGAGCTATTACTATTACCATCGCAAGGCATATTATAATACTAGCTTTCGCTCGCGACTTCGCCCGTGGTATGTTGATAAAAAGTAGCCCATGTCCTATCCAATGTACATTTCATCCAGATCCGTCCAGCCGTTTTGGCGTGATTGGGTAACAAACATCCAAACAGCCAAACATCGTAACTTTATAATATTAGTAAGATGTAAGCTTTGTCTCAGATCCATCTGAAGGGCTCCCAGGATTCCTTGATTCTATTCGAGTAATCTCGTCGAACAATTATGCAAGCTATACAATTTGACAACTGTTTCTTACATACATGCCCGAATGTGTCATTAATCCTAGAATTCGTAAGTACTAAGGTGTTGAAATTAATCAGAAATATTTGAAACTCGATATCCCTCAGTATGATAATACGATAACGTTAACTCGGCCACCAGATAAATATACTAGCGTCATTATTATCAATAATTAATTTATTATTATAAATACCCTTCGTAGCAGCTAAATTAAATAGGAGAAAAATTGATACTGAAATAGAACCACTAGACATGCTACAGATACACATTCAGTGCCCCCGACGCGTATGTGCGTGCGAGGAAACGCACATACGCGTCGGGGGCACTGAATGTGTTAAAAAGGTCTTTATTATATGTATAACCTACACATTCTTTCTCATATATAAGAACAATAGTATATACCTACATTCCTTTAATTTTCAGTCATGAATCACAAGTAAAATAATAACCGCCTTGTAAGTAAGAATTCATTTCCTTCAAATGTTTTAATAGTTACCCATTTTTTTGGTACTTAATTGTTTGAAAAATACAAGTCTTATGTGTCACTCACTGCTTATCAAGTTATGGGCATTGTTCCCTCCTAAACTAAAATAAAAAAATTATAAGAAGCTAAAATTTATATAGTCAAATAGTAATGTAGTAAAAAGTATGTTTGTAGTCTATAATACCATTTCAATAGTGGTAAATCGAGACAATATCATAATAGAAGAATAATAGGCACAAGAATGCTAGCATTTGCTTGGGATTTGATGAGTTGATCAGTGTTCTAGCCTTATGTCATGTCCTATTTTCTAAGTGTAATGAAATCAATATTGGTCATAGGGGCACCATTTATATCAATGCATGATCTATTGCGGCCTTAATCTGAGTTATCACTCATAGTTATTGCTCTTATATATATGAAGAGAGATATAGGTAGATAATTACCAGACTGTTACTAGTTATAGCTATACTTATTAATTACTTACAATATTATATAGAAGTAAAATTTTATAATTTGTAATTTTGTATATAGGGGGTAACTTTTGGAACCGCTGGTTGGAGTTCCAAAATTCTTTTATGTTAGAAAGCAATATTTACAATATTACAATGTTTTCGAGTGCTATATGTTAAAAAGCCTCACACTATGTTCTATAACCGAGCAGCAACTGAAACCGCAGGAGAGTAGCAAGTAAGACATTATAGTTATGATTAGCAAAAATTAATGAAAACAACTTACTTGTGCACTCTCATATAACTCAGGATGACCGTTTTGTTCACATTTCTTCTTAAATTGGTCTAAGTACTGTGTCTTGTACTTTTCTACATCGGTCTCATTTATTTTGGCTTGAAGTTCTGGTGGCAATGTGATGGAGCCTCCAAAGGGTGCTTCTTCAGTCTCAGTCTGGGCCACGGCAGCACCTGTGAATTCCATCGTTGTCATTTCTTGCTGATTTACATAGATTAAATTTGTTTTTTCACTAAGTCCGCATATGAAATGTTTTAACCATAACTAACCATATTATTTCTAAATGCCAGGGCTTGCCAACATCTCATGGCAAGAGGTCTGGTTGTACTACAGACATCCCATAATATATAGCATAGCAGCATAACATAACATACACTGTGGTAATGCAGCCAGCTCACTACAGACTTGTTTAATACTGTAGATAATAATTTTAAGTTTCATTTTTGTTTTATAGATTGAAAGACTAAAAAGTTGCCATGAAGAAAATAAAGCTCAACTATACTAAGGACTAAAATCCTAACACAAATTAGGCATAACAATGATATTTAGGCTATGCACAATATTTTTTATCAGCTTAATAAAACCTATAACCATGAGTAAGGGCCTGTTTCCTGTTTTTGTATTTAGATCTATAAAAATACTTATTGTCTTAGAATTAAAACATTGAGTTGTTAAAGTTAATTTATTAAGACTTCACTGCACTTTAATTTTTGGGGGAAATTAACAATAACTGGGACCTTAAAGACCGGGAGTATATCTCATCCAGCCCAAGGGTGGTGCAAATACATAGGTACTTAAAAGAATTGAAGTGGATACTTATCCTTGAATTTTGGATTTATTTAAAAAAAAAATATTATTATACAGGTGGGTAGGTTTAACTTGAAAAAATAATGATATCCTACTAATACCAATTATAATACTATTTAGCGATATGCTAATGTTCAATAGGTATCTAAAGTTAAGAAATTTTAATTGAGTGAATTTACTTAAATAACGCGGGAAATTAGCCGAACATCATGAACCTTTAATGATCATAACAATTACAATTGTTTAAACAAGTTACTATTTCAACACAAATTCTCATTAACTCTTATCAAATGGTAATTACCTAGTTGGAATCAAAGTATTGACTAGGAACATTCGGAGAATCGCTGACAAGGGAGATGTGACTTAAAAATCATAACTGTTGTTTTAATTACGTATTCCAAATTTGAAAAAATTGCTCTAGTCCGTAAACTTATTCTGGCAATCGAATAAAACAAAATCTGTTGAATCTAAATAATTAAAAAATAGCAAATAATGGTTTTTCTGGTCTAAAGAATTACGGCTAAAAACCGGATGGAATTAAATTACTTCAATCAAATGGTGTACTTACTTATGAAAACAGCAAAAATTAGGTAAATCCAAGCCATTTTATGAGCGGTAGTTATCTTTTCACTTTTTGGTAATTTGCAACAAACACTAAATAACTTGAAAAACTAGTATTGTAACACAACGCACGTCTACACACAAAAACTTTTCTTCGACGAATGCCAAAGAGTATGTAACCACTACGTCGAATGCCATAGATTTTACAATACAATTTTTAAATACTTCATCTGTGTTGCCAACCTTACAAATCTAAAAGTACAGTATGAGTAAATGTAAAACAGTGTAGGAAACCACAATAATTGTCAGATTTCGGACAGATGGTCTGTTGCGTTATTTTGTTTTCGTACAACTGCTTGTATTTTCATAATTGAAAGTTGGTTTTAGTAGAATATTTATTATAACGTAACGCTTGCGCGCTGACCGAAGATTGGAGAATAGTGTTAATTAGAAATGAAAGAAAAACAGAGGAAAGACAGCAATATAAAGCCATAGTTTATTAACGATATAATTCTAGAATATTACGTTCTAGCAAACCATAAAGGCAAACATTCCATGTGGGTAACACTGAAGACACCCAGTTTTCACTCGTTACCGTAAAGCGCTAGTATCACATATCATATATTTTGACATAAGTTAGTGATGTGGTAGGTAGGTATTTAATTACTATGTCGACATCGATACCATAGTCGATAAAAAGCTATTCGGAGTTCTAGAATCGTCAAAGAAGTCATGTGATGCGTTTACACATACAGATTTCATCAGAGTGTCCTATTTGAACCTCACAAGTGATCGTGCGAGCTCATGAAATGCTTATTAACGATCGTACGAGGCGTTTAATCATGATCATGTAATCAAAACAACAGATTTTTATTGAGTGTCGTTTTCGTGCGAGGGGTACGATCACTTTGATCATGCGATGAAAACCAGACCGCGCCATCGTACAATCGCTCCCAATTAGGACGCCCATCTGAAGGTTTCATACATTTACTACTATGTATAATGGTTAGAGACAAACTTGCGTATCGTGTCGAGTGCTGTCAAATGCTTTTTATTGGTTAGATTTGAATGTCATTGTGACTGATAATACCTAATGTAAACTTTACTGTCACAGCTATTTGAAATTAGACAAGGTACTTAATTCTATAAAATAAAATTTCGAATTTTGGATTTTATATGTATTGTATTATCTATAAGTATACATTTATTTAATGAATTTATTTACACATAGGGTATGGTATGCGTTTAAAGCGTGTAGCGACTTTTGATTTGATCCATATTAAGTAACTAACATAAATTAGGTACCTAAAATAACTAGTAAAATACCTACATTTTATTATATCTACTACTAGGCTTATTTTTGGATAGGTACTCAGTACATGACGACATTGACAAAGACGAAAATTGGTCGCTAGTGGTACCTTGTACCATTATGACTGACAAAAATTATAAAATTTCTTTTATTAACGTTATGACAGATATTAAGTATTTAGGAAGATCTTACAAAACGATGGAAATATTTTTTTTTGCTAAAACTGTTTTTGATTTTTTTATTAGGTTGAAAACTAATGTGACTTTTCCAACCTATCATACATAGGTAGCCCAACCTATCTAAATAGGTGCTTTCGGATTAGGTAGGTACTTTTTGTTAAATTCTCTTTTGAATCAAAAACCTTTTTTTCTAATTTAGGTACCTAGGTACTCATTCATGTCAAGTAGATACACTAAAGGTAAAACAAAAAAGCATCTACGACTTTGTTCTTCTTAATGATACTGAATGAAAGTGCGTTTTTTTCCCTTATCCAGATTAGAATACCAGCGACATTGAAGACACGCCTCCGAATATGATTGAAAAAATGAAAAGCATATAATGTGGGGTGCTGGAACCCTGGAAAAAATAAAAAAACTTGTAATATTTTAAATACAACATTTATGGATGATATTTGAGACTGAGTTGGTAGGTTACCTAAGTAAGTATAGTACTATATTGCATTATTGAAAGAAGGAAAAAATAATGTCTGCCAATCAGTCCCTTTTTTATGTGATAAGATGGCAAAAGAGCAGACGGATAACCTGATGGCAAGCAAAGTTTCTTTAAACTGCTTTTCTGCGAGGTCGTAGTATCACTCCAGTCGAGCCGAACCATTCGTGCCGAAGCATGACTCTACAACCACTTTTAATCGCCTTAACTATAAATAATACATGTAGGTACGAGATCGATAGCTTAGGCGGCAAATTAAGCCAATAGACCACCAGACGAGCCCTTACATGGCCGATGCGATAAAGTACCGCTACCCCGGTTTATAGCAGGAACAGGGGGGTTTTTAGTCAATTCAAGTCTGACAAGTCGCTCTCGCCCCATCCTATATATAATTATATAGAAGCTATTGAATGATTTTCCCCTCAAAAAACGGCAAATAAACTTGGATGAGCTTTTATTGATGGTAGGTATGAATGTAAAAACTAAGGAAGCTAATATACCGCGGCCCCAGCCCAGAGCAGGATAAGGAACGACGGGGTTTTTAGTAAGTAAGAGTCTTAGACTTCCTCTCGTTTCACCTAGGGTTGGAGAAGTAACTTGATAATATTCCACGCTCAAAAAAAGCTAGGAAATATGTAGCTACTGATAGGAATAAAAGCCTGCTAAAGCGAGGGCGGGGCAACTCTAGTACCTACTACGCCATTTCAACGCGCGCACTCAATGATATTTTAACTACCTAAAAAGGTGTAGATAGGTTACAAGCGCTAAGCAAGTGATACATTAAAATGTGGCTAACTAGCCACACTTTTTCATATTTGTCTCTTTTTCACTCGCGATTATTGAATCATGCCATCCCACTTTAACGTGATTTATTCCTGAGTTCATAAGTGTGCCGTTTTTGAAAATCGAATGTTATTTATGTAGTAAACTATCTATACCATTTTACTTATAATATCATTGCGCGCACCCCCTCTCTAAGTCTGGGCTGTCAGATGAAGAAAACTGTTTCGCGCGCTTTTATACATCCGATTTCTTAAATGATATGTCTATTCATTAATATCATTGTGTTTTCATGTTAAAACTACAATATTGAATAATAGTTTTTTTACTTACTACGGTCTTGCTGGGCTCTGCTTTAATTGTTAGGTTAGAACATTTGCTGTGCGCAAAGTCAAATAATGAAGTCACATATTTGCTAGTGCTTGGCTGACATGTGCGTAAAAGTTTCAATACACAATCTTTTACCATATTATTTTCATCACAATTTCTTTGCTGTAACAAAAAATTAATTATAAGGGTCACAATACACATAAATTAAATATGTAGGTATAAAGAAATACCGAAACTACCTAACCTAAGAATTCTCCATAATTTTTACAAATTTTATTACATACGAGAAATCGGTTCAGTAGTTTAGGCGCGAAGAAAAGACATAGAGACAAACAGACAGAGTTGCTTTCGCATTTATAATATTAGTATAACTATAGATTAATATAATATTTTAATACTTAGTCTATATCGTTTCATAGCTCTGCTTGAAGAATTAGCTAGGTACTTGATCGATTAATTTCTAGCCATCATCGAGGCCAACAATCATGGCAGCATCACAACACGTGACATTGACGCGCTGATACTGCCAGTTCGAGTACTAGTCAGGGTGAATAAATACTGCTGACTAATTATTTTAGTCATCATCATCATAATAAACAAGTTAGTTAACTTTGGCTCTATTCTGTATAATAAAGTGGTTCAAAAATTACGCACAATGTATCGCCAATGCCAATAAAATTAAATGATTTAAATTCCGTGCGAAGCGGTACAGCTTAGATGGTTTTATACTGACTAATAAATCAAGCCAAATTTAAAAGTTGTTCGCGCGCCTGATGGTTTTTTCAGAGCATCAACTTACGCTTTTGAAAAGTATAAATTGTGAAGAATTCTGAAAATTACCCCACTTGCTATCCTGTTGATAATAAAAAAAATACTCACAGAATACGCCAGGTCCATTTTTTTGTTAAAAGAAGAGTGGGTTGCCTTTTCACTTATGGGTATATATCCAACTATACTTTTTACACATGCGCTTATGTTCTTTTCGAATTTTTTAACGCAGTCAATGTCGCTGTAGAACTCTGTAAATAAGAATATTAAAGTAACTATCGCTATTTATTTCATTTGTATTGGTTGTCGTATTTCTTTTATAGGGGTATTTAAATTATTTTCCAATTATTTTTAAACATTGCACTGCACATTGACTTTTATCCTGTGTGGCTGGGCAACTGGATGCTGTGCAACGTGTCGCGGATTCGATTCCCGCACGGAACAACTCTTTGTGTGATCCACAAATTGTTGTTCCGGGTCTGAGTGTGAATTGTATTTGTAAACGCACGCACGACAGGAGAAAATCCAAGCGTAGGGCAACATTATATAAAAAAGAGATACTTATTTTGGATATTTGAGTATAGGTAGGTACGAAAAGATCTTAAAAAAGTTGCTTACCTTTAAAAGAGTCGTTGCTCAAACTGAATTCAATATAATCCATAAGATTCGTCATATTTGTGTTAGGAAAACGAAGGCCACATGTAGTTGTAAATGCATTTTGATGTTCTTTTATTTTCTGCTCCAATTCGGGAATCGTACATTCTCTGAAATTAATTGATTGCGAAATTTCAGTTATTTTTATTGTTTTATACAGTAAAGTCCACTATCGTATTAGGTAGGTATGTCGAGAGGGCGCTGTAGCGACTCAAAAAAACAAACATAGCGTCAAAATACAATTTCGTACGTGTAAACATTAGTACTAATTTACTTGTAAGACTTAAAACTGACAAAAGTGGATATCACTCACTACCATCTTATGTGCACTTCTGTATTTCATGTCTCATAAAAAAGAGTGTTGCAAAAGTGAACCTTACAATTCAAACATTTTTTTTTCAGATTAAAATACCTAATTTTTTCAGTTAGGCCTCTTTTCAATTAAGGTCATTATCACCATATTTGATTTTCGGCGTTGTTTTGCCGTGTCAGTTAACAACTGAAGGTTTCGTTATCAACCCCCACTAAAAATTCTTAACTTAAAAGGCCGACAACAAATCCGTGACTCATCGAGTGTTGCATGGGCGGCTCCGATAGCTTACCATTAGGTAAAACGCAGGCCGATATATCACATAAATATTATAAAGAGGCATTTGTAAGGATTTCCAAAATTGATAGCTACAATGTTCGTGAGTTCTAAGTTGTACTTTTATATGCTCTTAACTCCGGTTGAAAGTGTATACCAAGTACCTATATCTATTAACCTACCTATATAACATCGGCCAACTTTCACTAAATTCTTACTCAAAATAAGTTACGTTTACTCATAAATAAAAAAAAAAAGAAATCAACTTACTCATTATATGAACTGTTTAGATTCTTTCTCACGATATTTTTGAAACAATTGTTTATTGCATCCCTCTTTTCCTGATGAAGAAAAACAAATAGGTATATTATTATAGCTTTAAGGAAGAGAAACAGCTCATTAGCGACAGAATAGGTTTTTATTTCCACTCATGTAATGTAAGTAATTTAGGGTCACGAAAACTGGAGAATATTAAAAATAATAATTAGGTATAGCTAGTGCCGCTTTATGGTGGATTTTTTTAGAATAATGTTATAGCCTGGAGTTATTTTCAGATTGATTTCTGAACGGTTTTTGGCAAGTGAATTGGTTAGTAGGTAATGGTAGGTAGGCGTGATTCATTTTAGGCCGCATCAGCGCTAATCATCACGCGAGATAGTGGCTAAACGAATAGCCCTTTTAAAATAAAAATGAGTTGCAGTAACATGCAAGTCAAAGCATTCATTTTAGTCAAACCGGAACAGTTAGAATAGTACAATCGGGAACAAAAAACTTCTGACTGGAAAAGGTTGATTTAAAAAATAACTGCTGTGTTAGAATTTTCTCCCGTGTCGTGGGTGCGTTTACAGAAATACAAATTCGCAAACACAAACCAAACAGTTCCGAAACAACAAATTGTGGATCACATAAAGTGTTCTTCCGTGCGGGAATCGAACCCGCGACACATTGCACAGCAGCCAGTTTCCTACCACTGCGTCAACCGTTCAGTCAGTTATCAGTAAAGCGAGGTAGACTGATTGTGGTTCTTCACTGCTGACCTCTGAGTTTGTTTTGGCATTTCTTCGCAGAGTAGTCAGATAGGAAATGCCGGCTTCATCTAGTTTTTTTACATACATTTATACATACATTTTTTTACATACATTTATACATTTGACGTGTTAAAGTGCCGTTTCATGGCCTATTTGCAAAATAAATTCAGTATAAATTCATAATTGTGTATTCACCTACATATATGTACTTATATATTATACCTAAATAGGTAAGTTAGCTTCGAATATTTGAGTCAGCTAACATAGGTAATTTTAAAATTAAATTATGTTGGTACTATATTAATTTATTATATTTGACATAGCTTTGCATAGTTTACGCGAGCAAAACTAAAATAATAATGTACTGTCTGTGTTTAACACAACAATATCTGCTGAACTAGACACCTTTTATTAGCAAAACATAATTAGTTAATCTCAAAATTTATTTACTTACTTTCATTTCAGTTGAATTTATACATGCTGTAATATTTTTTAATGGAGTCTCGGCAGCATCTTGCGTCATAACTGAAAATGTAAAAAAAAACTAAATAATGTCTTCTCGGATCGAACAAAGAACCGATGGGTGTACCTAATCACTACAGTTTAAAATAACGACAGACGATCTCCAGCCACCGTAAGCGCGGGTTTCCGGACGGCGAGTAAGGGTAGCTCGCCGCCCAACCAGAACTTGACCTGAGCTTAAGGCGCGTAGCGTTCCGCGGCGCCTCAAAGAGCCAATAGACTACTACAGACGGGGCCCTATAGGGCTGATGTTCAGCCAGGGTTGCGGGTTAAGCGCAATGAGGCACGACCTCGGCCCAGAGCACGAGAAGCAGCGGCTGGTTTTAGTCAGTAAGAGTCTGACTCTCTCGCCTTTCTCTGGGCAGGAGAAGTCATTTGATGGTTTTGCCCTGACAAAAAAAATTTTTAAAACAAAGCCGCTTTCATTGTCATGCCGCTTTCATTTCATGTCCATATGTGCTTTCATTTCATTTCATGTACAATGAAAGCATCTTTAATTTAAAACTACGCAACAGATTTCGTTTTATTTTTGTAAGTGATTAAAGAGAAAGGTTATATAAATGTGAAAACATCCATTAGATAGTGGAAAATTTTAGTATCAGCGTGGCACCCGTGTGAAGCTGGAGCGGGTCGCTAGTATTGTATAAATTTTCAAAGGCTGTGAGAGTGTGAGGAGTGCTGGACTTCAAATGACTACAGTAGGGAAGTGGATGGTGAGCTTCGACAGTCTAGTAAGTTGTCACATCAAACGGTTGTCATTCAACTCTATAACAAATTGATTTCTCATCGACTTTTTCAAAGAGAACTTTGAGGATTGAAAATCAAGTGACAATCTGTGTATGATGACGTATTTATGTGATAAGAAGGATGGCCATGGAGCAGACGGATCACCTGATGGTAAGCAATCAGCGCTTCCTATGGACACCGGCAACAACAGAGGAGTTACTGGTGCGTAGCCACCTTTTGGTGTACTTATTAGGAATTTGGAGATTTAGGGAATGCTGCAGAGGAAGGATTGTTCAAGATATTTTAAGCCGAAGTTGCGAGTTCAAGCGTAATAAGAATAAGCTGCCGCTCTCGGCTCAAAGCAGGAGATCGCGTGGTTTTTAGTCAGTAAGAGTCTGACACTCCCTCTCCCTCAGGGAGAAAGAGATATTGATGATTTTCCACTCTCATAAAGAAGCGTCCCACTTTCCTTGCAAATCGTAATACTTGATCCGTTTCATCAGCTACTTTTATGTACCTACTCGACTTTTGAACTCCTTTATTTTTGTAATATACCTAGGTACTAATGAACGATAAATTTTGTTTCGAATCGATTTAAGAATTTTATTACATAAATACGTACTCGTTTATTTTTATTAAACGTAGGATATAAATTGTGGTAGTTATTACCTTATTAGGATTATTAATAATGTTGAATCATTAGGACTTAACTTACACAAACAATATTTTAAAATGTAATAAATACTGTATTTATTTTATAACTGTCATGATAATGTTTGTATGTAACCTACATATCATACATGGTAATCACATTGAAAAGGAAAATATTGAAAACAATAAATAAGTAAAATGCAATGTATCCTGTTCATTATATAGTAGGTACATTATCAGCCTACAAAGGCCTCTTCTCACACCGAGAAGTTTTGAGCACTAATCGCCACGCTTGTTGGAAGCGGATTGGCGATTTCTAACTGATAATTATAAATTGTTAGTCCAGGTATTCCTTCACCGTTTGTCAGTGGTATTTAGGCACCACTGACAAACGGTGAAGGAATACCTGGACTAACATCATAAAAAGTACATAACTAACATCATAAAAAGTATCTATACTAATCATAGAAAGTACATATAACTCGGAAAAAGACACATTGTTACTTGGCAGGTTTCGAAACCGCACCTTCATACATTAGGAGCCTTTACCTCTGGTCTACAACGACATTAATGTATCTTGAAGTCATCTCAATTAAAGATTATAGGACTAAAAACTATCAACTCCGGTTTTGTACTTTGAGCGCGATATTATGATGAACTATTTACTGCCAGCGGCTTCGCCCGCAGTACCAGGATGTTAAATGCCTTTGCGTATTCCAGATTACAATCTAACTATCTCTGTAGATACCATAATTCATACTAAGAAACTTTCGCGTTTATAATACTAAGTTTCAGCAAGCGGCTTTGCTCGTGTTATATGGATGAAAATTTGCCTAACGTTACAGTCTGGACTGTAAACTATGTCTATGTAATTTTTTCATTAAAATTCTCGCAATAGTTTTTACATGAAATATTGCTTTCACGATTGTAATATAGAAAGGATTAGTCGTTTGATGTGTCGTTCAATTTTGAAACCAGGGCGAGAACCAGTTGAATGTTTTTCCCATCAAAACAATTTTTAACTGGACGGATTTTCCATGCTTATGACATTACCCGCATTAAATAGAAGCGCACTCGTCGAATGATTAACTATCTCTAAATTTAAAATTATACCATGAACACCTGCTGTGATGTGATAGAAAAATAAACAAACACACATAGAATCGTATATACTACTACAAATAATCAGTAAGATCTAGTTGGTATTTTTTTTATAATACGTCACAAGTCAAAATCATATTTAAAAAATTGTTTTGGTCTTGTGCAGCAAGCGTAATCAGGTACCACGGTTCAGGAGCTATAAGATTGACAAGTAAAAAGTCCAGGGACTACTTAGCACTCGCGTGGTATGTTGATAAAAAGTAGCGTATGGCCTATTCCGGACTGTATCCTATGCCTGTGCCAAATTTTATCCAGATCCGTCCATCCGTTTTGGCGTGATTGAGTAACAAACATCGTCACTTTCGCATTTATAATATTTAATATTATGTACGTACGTACGTGTCACGTAAGAGGTAATATTTATTATGATCATAAAAATTGAACGTGTTTACAACATATCAGATCAATCGGTAAAATATTATATATTTCAGTTGCAAGATTACACTTCACTTAAAAAAGGTCACAAAATTCTTATACGTTTGTACGTTTGTATAGTATAAAATATTTGTTGATTTTCTAATATAAATCCGTTAAATAGATTGAGGAAACTAACTTGACATGTTAACGCCCGTAGTAGGCTAGATATATGTTTGCAGAAAAATTAATAAATATGTTTCAAAACATAACAAAACAATAATTTATTTAAATTAATTACTTGTTCACGTGGAAAAGTAAGACCGAGAAAACCTTTACTAGTTTTAAGTAACAACGGAACTCTTCTAAGTTAACTCTTGTAAGTAAGTTGGTGGAAAGAAGAAAGTCTTTAAATATAGAATAGTCTCTTAACTGTCATTTTGAAATACACGGAAATTACATATTTGGGCATCATAAAAATGGTATTCTATATTCGTTTACTTTCCCCAATGTCTTACGGTAGTAACGATAAAAAAAGCGAATACTTAAAAGATAATTTTGATTAAAATATTAAAACTTACCAAATGGCGCAAATGAAAACAAAACAACGGCTACAGCAGTACCCCACATGATAACAGCACTCAAGCCCATTACAGTGACTGTTCTCGATGTGGTGTGGCAAGTTAATAAATTTATTTATATTTTATTTAAACATAGTATGATGTATAATGTTCACTGCATTCTGAACTAAATCTTCCTCAAATGGTTATAACCTATTCGCGACATTTCCCATTATTATTCATAAATAGTTCGTATTTTCCGGTATTAGTCACATTGCGAATGTTTAGCTGACCGTTTACTTAACATCTCATCTTTGTAAATGCTAATTTACCTAACTTTTGGTAAAAGTGCGAGTGTATGTTTGTATGTATTTCTACCTTTTATTGATACCAACATATTGAGGCGAGCGTTCATTGCGATACATTCGACACTCCATCGCATTTACTATATCTGTCTAACTGTAAATTTAACACTGTCACTCAGAATACAGTTTGTTCTGTATTCTGAGCACTGTCATAAAAGAACAGCGAGAATATCAATGCAAAAAATGCCTTTGTTTTTATTCATCCAAATTTATTTTGTCACCTTAAAATTTTGGATTGTCTCATTGGATGCTATACATCCACGACACGTCCAATGAACCGAAAAAGCACTTTTTAAACGCTGTTTCCAAATTGAGTCCCATTCTCGCCACCAATAAAATACTTCTTTACATCTTCTACAGATTGAAAACGTGTGCCAAAAAGTGGTAGTGTTTTGAAAAAAAAAATCGTCTAGAGTCATTTATCGCTAAATGGTGGTTGATTAATGGTATTTGTTGAGCGTTTGGTCAAAATTTTGTTCACAGTGATGACCTTATGCGAATGCGCCTAATCATCGTTGTCTAGATTTTAATTAAATTTAATAATTTTTGACAACTAAAATGTAGTTTGTAGGCGTAGCCTAATAATAAAAAGTAATTCGGTTTTAATCACAAATATCCTGATAAAATAAGGTAGAAGTAATTTTTTTTATGTAATAGGTCGGCAAACGAGCAGACGAATTACCTGATGGTAAGCAATCACGCCGCCCATGGACACCTGCAGCGGAGGAGTTACAGGTACGTTGCCGACCTTTTAGGGATTAGGGTTTTGGAGATTTTGGGATTGGGGAGGGGAAGGATTGGGCCTCCGGTAACCTTACTCACACGGCGAAATACAACGCTGTGGTTGCTTCACGCTGGTTTTCTGTGAGGCCGTGGTATCACTGCGGTCGAGCCGACCCATTAGTACTGAAGCATGGCTGTCCCACACTTTATTAAAAAGAATTTTTTGAAAGAACGATAGCTTTATTTATATTTATCACAGGCGAGGTTGCGCGGTAAGCTCAATGAGGCACCGCGACCTCGGCCTAGAGCAGGAGAAGGAACAGGGGGTTTCTAGTCAGTAAGAGTCTGACACTCCTGGGCGGGAGAAGTCATTTGATGACTTTTCCTTCACAAAAAAAGGTATACTTATCAGGTAATTTTAAATAACATTTTATTAGGGATGAATAAATTTAAATACCTACTACAAGTAAACATAAATACCTACCGTTTAATGGTTGTCAGCGCGATTGTGGTTCCGGATAGAGTTCTTAGTGGTGGTTGTTTTAGCTTATTACTACAGTTCAGCTTAATACAGTTACTAGCTGACCCAGCTTTTTTTCATTTCAACCGTAACCGATAACCGTAGATACCTATTTAAATTTAAAAAAAACCCATTTAGGCATTTTAAAAACTCCCCTGTTCCTTCTCCTGCTCTGGGTCAACCCCGGCTGGCCACGAGTCCGTGAAGATTGTAAATTAATATTACATAAAAAAAACAATGCCCACGTCCAACAGGTAAGGGATGACCAGCCATACCAGGCCAAACTATAATCCCCACGCTTTACCAAATGTGGTGATTATTGTTGGTCTTCTAATCTTAACGTATGACGACGATGACTCTCGGGTAGGTTAAGGTGTTTAGTTAAATCCAATATGTTTAAAAACAATTTATTAACAGAGAAAACATCTCAAAGCAGTTAAAATAAAAAACCATGGAAGCCATGTTAATCCAGCAATGCCAACAAGTATTAGCCCCAAAAGCTGTTTTATAAAGGCACAAATTCTAATTTTTGTTTCAAATGGATTTGGCGGTTTCTTTGTATATTTTTTTATGTCACAATCGATGTCTAGAAACTTTACAAATTTTCTCAGGCGTTTTACAAAATCCGAAAACTTATATTTTGAGATTTGTTTAAGTTTTTTTTTTAGATTCTTTCTTAGATTCTTTTTTAGTTTCTTTCTTAGTTTATGTGATTGTTTGCGTCGTTTTTTCTTTCTTCGTATTCTTGGTTTTCGGAGTTCCCTTTTCACGTTTTCTTTTTCAGGTTTCTTTTTCTTTTGTTCTTTATTACTCGGAACATTTCTTGTTTTTTGTTGTTTATTTTGATTTTGATTTACATTACATTGTTTGTCTAGCAACCATTGTTTTGAGTCCACTCGTAAACAAATTTTACTACAACTTAAATCACATTGTTTTTTGGAAGGTTTAGGTTTGCGAGGCAGTAACTTTAAACGTATACCCCTAACTTTTTTGAATTCATCGGATGAACATTGAAAACCTTCGTCTTTACATTCATTTTTTTCTGGTAAATTGTCTGAAGATTTGCATTTACATGTTTGTTTTACTGGGGTTTTAACTTTTTTTAATTGCTTACATTCGCAATTTACGACCTCATCAATGACTTTTTTCTTTTTCGTCTTCTTTTTACTAGAGCGACGACAACTAAAAAATCTACGTTTGGTACGTGTATTACAAGGCGGTTCTTGATTATGTTTTTTGCGATTAAAGCATAAAAAGCGACGTTTTCTTGGTTTTCCCGAAAAGCTTTTATCAGAAACATTTTCATTGCTAATACAATGTGATCGTTTTCTTTTCATTTCATGTGAAGTTTTATCCTTACAAGGTTGATCGTGTGTCGTTTTTTGCTCTTTAATATTTGTTCGAGAACAAAGTCCACTTCTTGGCAAAGTTTTATCTGTTTCTTTACTATTGACACCACCGCATTGTGATTTTTTTATATTTAAGCCACAATTTTGACTACTAATGTATGCATTTCTTATCTCAGAGATTTTTCTATCGTTCTTGTTAATATTGTCTAAAAAATTTGTTTCAATTTTTTGAACAAGAAAGCATAAATGGTCGTTTATTATTTTGTAGATCTCACCTCGTTTATTCTTCTGTAGAGTAAATCCCGCATGATTAGAAATTGAATTGTCAAATTTCAAACGACTTTTTGAATTATGAGAGTGTAACGATTTTGTTGTTAAATTTTGATCATTGATTTTTTGTTCCACGTTAAATAAAAAATCATTTTCAATTCGTTGAGCTAGAAGATCTATATACTTACGTATATCTTTTTTTGAAATATCACTTTTCAAACGTTCCAAAATCCGTTTTGAATCAGATTTTTTATTTGTAATCTGATTGTTTTGTTGCAGATTTTGATTGTTATGCATTCTCCGTTCAAATTCTTGTGTCAGAATATGCTTTATATTTTCAGAGGGTTTGCGCCGGAAACGTTGAAAATAGCTACCCTTTTTGTGTTGGCTAAAGGAAAACGAATCTTCGGAATCTGTTGTATTGATTTCGTGGGATTTCTTTTTCTTTCTCTCAGTAGTGAAATTGCTGCTTAATGATTTAGATTTAGGTTGTTTTTTGAGAAAACAATCACATTTACAGAGGGACCCTTTACAAATCAAACATCTCACATCATCTTCATTATGTTTTTTATTCGTGTTTAATATGTTAGTACTTTTAGTTGGATATGATATCAATCTTACTGAATTTTGTGATCTATTCGGAATAGGTCTCTTTTCATAGATACTATAAACTTTATTTGTGACAGTAACAGAATCTCCCTCATGGGAATTTTGAAAGTTTTGTAATTTTTTAAGACAGTCACATTTCGAAAACTTTTTATTACATATGCAGCAAACGCAGCTATTTTTACTTTTTGAATGCCTTTGTCTAATAAATCTACGAAATATGTGTTTTTTAAGGTAACATTTGCAGGCATTTACTTTATTTTGTAAAAAATAGACGTAGGGTGTGTGCTGATTGCGGTCAGAAAATGTTTGACTCGTTTTAGACGAAATAGGTTGTATAGCGTTGGAAGCTACGTGTTTCATTGGACATCTGCCTGTAGGAGTTTGGTTTCTAGATTTGGGAGAAATGTATTTATTACCTTTATCAGTACGTGTTTTAAGTATAGATTCTGGTCTAGTACCACTCTCAAGATCAGGATCACGATGAAATTCTTTTTTGAGAAAGTTTACAAATGTAGGCGACGGTTTTTTGGATTTGGTATCAATATTTTGTTTTTTATCTCCACATGCTAGACTATGATTTGATGTTTTCCGTTCACAAGGTAATTTAGAATTACATGTGCAGTTCGAATCACATTTTCTTTGGTGTTGACTATTTTCACAGGCGGAAAATGATTTACTGGATTTTGATTTAGAAATAGCTTGTCGTTTATTACGTTCGCTTGCATGACTGCGACTGCAAGACTTCGATAGTTTACTTTTACTGTATGTTTTTGAATGATCCTTATTACTTAAATCATGCTTACTATCTTTCTTTTGAGGGATTTCACTACTATGACAAGACTTTTGAGGTTTAGTACAAATTGGTTTTTTATCTCGATTTTTAAGACTAGAATTTAATGGTATGAGTTTTTTGTGTCGATCTTTACAACATGAACTTGAACTAGAATCTGAATTAGAATAAGAATCTGAATCGGTATTTGAGTTAGTATTTGTATCTGAATCTGTATCACAAATTAGTCCCTTTTTTTGAAGGATACCACTAATGGAGGTCGGAACTTCAGAAAGATCACTTTTGTGTTGTTTGTTAGTATTATTTGGAAGCTTATGTTTTGGTGATTTATTTTTAACGTGTACTTTAGAACATTCCTTACCATCTGAATCAGACACTTGTCTATTCTTCTGAATTAAATCACCTGTAGGGGGCAGCTTTCTAGATTTGGGAATCGTGTGTTGTTTTTTATCGTCATTTACAATCTTGTGATCTGATGGTTTACATTTAGTGTAAAGTTTATCTATATTTTTTGTTTGGTCCTTGATTACCGGTTCAACATTTGTTTCTTTTTTATGAAGATGTTTACTTGAAGGGGAAGACTTTTGAGACTTACAAATATTCTGTTGTTTATGATCTTGATGATTGTGATCTACTGATTTGCATTTAATGTTTGGAGATATTTTATAATTTGACTGGGTTTTGTTGTCGGTTTGCTTTTTAATTGCCTTATTCACACCCTTTAAACACACACACGCTGGGAGTGGTTTGTTACATTTAGGGCAAATATCCACTTTTTTGTTACAACTTGGAGACGGTTTAAGCTGCTTATCGTTTTTATTTGTACACTTTTTTTTAGCTTGCAATGATAAACCCGGTTTACTTTTTGAATAATTAAGATCAAGTTTGGTACAATCGGACTTCGGAATCGTTTTAATAGATTGTTGAATGGGTTTAGCTGACAATTTTGGCGTACACTCTTTAGGTTTTGGATGAGGCTTAACTTTTACAGCAAGACCAGGTTTAAGCTCTTCTTCTTTATCAAGCTCACATTTATTTACAATCTCTGATTTATCAGATTTGTGTTTTTTCTCTGTCTTAGGGATGGCTCTCATTTTTGCCAAATACCACTGTTTACACTTTCGAGATATAAAAAGTCCTTGATAAATATTATGTTGAAAAAAATTACTCGTTTCTTTGTTTAAACATACATTGGCTTTATTCGGTAGCACTTCATGTGAGACACATTTCTTTTTTTCATTGTGAAATTGTTTATCTCGGTTTGTTTTTATTTCCGCCGATATTTTTACATTTTCCAGTAAATTACTGTGTTGACAAGTATTACTTAACATTTGTTCATTTAACAACATTTCTCTTTGTATTAATTTAAGGTCGGTTTCTTTTTCTTCAATTTCATCAACTACTGTACCTTTTAAAGAATACATGTTTTTTTCAGACATGAGCACCGAATTTTTCGTATCAAACTGATTATTACTGTTTATCTTATAAATATCAACAGTGCAACAGCTTCCAAGTTTACGTTGCTTCAAAACTTCATTTGATGAATTTTTCATTAAAGGACATTTACAACTGCGGTCAAATACACAATTTTGGTCCGTTTTACGAGAAATGGTAGAACCTGTTTCTTTTATTATTGGTAAAGAAGAATTTTGTGACTGTTGGGGTA